CCCGGGTGAGGACCTGGACGCTAAAATGAACACGGCCCGGATTGGGCACCCGTAGACCTTATTTGCATGGGAAATCGGGATTGGCTGGCTTCTTGAGGGGCCCGGGCGGTGTTCGTTCGGCGCGTGACCGTCGACAGCCATGGCCGGTCTCGGGGCTGCTTTCCGCCGCCTGGGTGCCTTGTCCGGAGCTGGGGCCTTAGGCTTGGCCTCCTACGGGGCGCACGGTCAGGGGGCTGGGGATGGAACTGGGATTATGCTGGGGGAGATCTTTAGGATCTGGTGCAGAGGCAGAGTCTAAAGGAAATGTCGGCCCCCCCCATCGACCAGACTGCCCGCGGAACCCTGAACCTTTTTAAAAAACCTCTCAGCCGGGTCCACTGGGTTCCCAGAACTGCCCGTGCATGTTTCCACCAATCAGAAGCCTCCTGGGGGCTCCCTTTCTCGTCGGCGTCCACCTGGGTCCACCACCACCACAGGAGTGGGGACTGTCTGGGTTGGCGCTAGGATTGGTAACCTTTGCTTCTTCTTTCCACAGGAGCCCAGTTTCCGGATGCGTACGGGAAGGAGGTGAAGTAAACGTGCTGGGGCTCCTCGACTTTGAGGCCTCGGAGGGCGCAAAGTCAGAGGTCCCTGAGAGAAGGAGGGGAGGGACGGAACGCAGGTCTTTGGAGTGGCAGGGAATGCAAGTCTGAGGCCTGGGTGCCTCAGGGAGGGGCAAGCTGGAGCTTGAGAGATCGAGTTGGACGTTCCTGTCCACTGTGTCTCCGCCCCAGCCTCCGGTGTCTTGCGTTGCTTAGGAAGTACCCCCATTTCTTTTTTTCTTACAGCTCTTTGACAAGTCCAACAAACACCACTTCTTACACAGCCTGGCCCTGTTAGCGGTACCCCTGTGCAGAAAGCCCCTCTGGGTAATTCCCCCCATCCCCAGCCCTAACCCTGACCAAGCCCCACCCATTCCCTCTTAACTCGCCAGGTTCTTACTGGCCTGAATTCTGCCTTGTATCTCCTTCAGGCTGGGTTACTGCTAGCTTCTGGAACTACCTTATTCTGCACCACCTTTTACTACCAGGCTCTGAGTGGAGACCCCAGCTTCCAGAATTTGGCTCCTGTGGGAGGGAGCCTGCTACTCTTGGGCTGGCTTGCCTTGGCTCTTTGAGCTTTCTTGTGTTTAATTTCTGGGTACTTTTTTTTTTTTAAGAATTTGAGCAGGAAAGGAATTAAAAGAGAAAGGCAAATAAAGAACTTTGGAGTTTTTGTTCATCTAACCTCCTAAAAGAGAAAGGACAAAAATTGTCAAACCTTTTAACTCCTTCCCTTTCTTAAGACTGAATCAGTGAGGCTTGAGTTTGGGTGGAGAGTCACTGATCACTTCAGGTTAACTTGTTATAAGTTAACAGTTTGGCATATAACTTATAAGTTAAACTGGTGGGCATTAGAGTCATAAAGAATGCTTGAACTAACACAGATTCTTACCAAAGCCCTCTTCAGGGCCTGGGAATCTGTATTCTAACAAGCTTATCTTGTGGTACTGATGCTCACTAGCATTAAGACTAGATTTTGGTAGGGTAGTGGTTTTCTGGGGCACCCACTTACTCTATAAGTCAAGGTTAAGGCAAGGTGGGATGGGAGGTGTGTGATTACTTACAAAATACTTTGGGGTTCAAAGCTGAGACCAAACATCATGTGTTGGGAGTCAGAAAAATGCTTCACAGTGCTTGAGATGATTCTTAAAAGAACTCTGTTGTGTGGCTGAAACACAGGGAACAAAGAGAAGGAGATGGGAAGGGAGGGGCATGGGGCCACCTGAGTCCTCAGTGTGGGCTGAGTTTCTTAGGCAGAAAAGGAGTGAGAAAAGGTGGCCAGGCAGGCTGGAGTAGCACCCACGGCAGAGAACTGGATAGTATTTAGGGGGCTAATTTTTATTAAAGTGTTCCATCAAGTGTTGGGTCATGTGTCAGACAAATGTTACAAGGAAATTGAACCAAATGGTTGGACAAGACAGATACTGTCTTTCCCTTGTGGGATTTTCATCTAGTAACTGGAAACAGACCTTCAACAACTGAACACAAATTATCACTATGAGATGTGCTCTGTGCTTGAAGGAAAAGAATAGGGAGGCCAGAACAATGGGCAGGGAAGGGTGTGTCCCTTGAGTTAGGAAGGCCTCACAGAGCAGGGGCCCTTAAGGCTGGAATCAACCATGCACAGAGTGGTGGGGAAGTGTGGTTTTTGGCAGAAAGAGTACCTGGTAAGCAGGCTGAAATGGAGCAGTTTGAAATCCTTGAGGCTGGAGAGAATTGAGCAGATTGGAGAAAGAGCAAAAGCAGCTTGGCTGACATGTAGTGATTAGAGGGTCTCCCATGGCCAGTGCAGGCCTTGCAGGCAGTAGTGGTGAAGCACTCAGAATTTATTTGCAGCGCGACAGTAAATCATTGAAAGGTTTAAAGTGAGAGAGTGCTAGAGTCTGATTTATATGTTTAAAAGATTTGGAGAACCAATCAGAGGACAGTGAGGATGCCAACAGAGACCAGCCCAGAAGCCACTGGAGGTCCAGCTGTGAGATGGTGACGGTGGCTTGGCTGAGGGGGGAAAGAAGTGGTGAAAATGGTCCAATTTAGAAGATGAAAGAGAGGGAGATTTCTGGTTTATGCACCTGGTTAGGTGGAGGTGCTATTACTCAGATAAGAAACACTGAAGGAAGGGACAGATTGAAAGAGGTCAGTTTTGGACACTGTTGCTTCTGAAATGACTGGGAGACATCTGAGTGGAGATACCAGGCAGGTAACTGGGGAGCTCAGGGAGAGAGATCTGGCCTCAAGTTTACTTCACAACCCTCTGGTCAGTCTTCTATCCCACCTCTTCCCCATTCATGGGAAAGAGCCCGTGAATCACTATGTTCTCTTGGTTGCCAGACCCAGTGGATGATTTTCAGTCTCATCTCCCTCAGCCTCTGCAACATTTGACACAGTTGGCCACACTGCTCAAACACATCCTGTTTCTTCTGTGACACCACTCTCCTGGTCTCTCTCTATGGCTGCTTTACCAGATTCTTGTCTACCTGGTTTAACCAAATTTTAATTAAAAGAGAACTCATATATAAATGTATACATATTTTAATTTCACCTTTTAAAATGTCTATTTTTGTGTATATTTTATAAACATGGATATCTGTATAGTATACTGGCAGTGCATACTTAATTTTTGTGAAGATGTGCATTCAGAAAAGTGCAGACCATTCAGCTGAGTGAGATAGTTTCTAGGTAATTTCATTTGGCCCTATAGCTTTAACTACAACCTGCATACTTTTATTTATTTGGCTGTACCGGGTCTTAGTTGTGGCATATGGGATCTAGTTCCCCAAGCAGAGATGAAAGAACCCAGGCCCTCTCTATTGGAAGTGCAGAATCTTAGCAACTGGACCTTCAGGGAAGTCCCTCCATACTTTCAAATCCAGAATTTATCTCTGACCCTAGTCCCTGCTAAACTCCATACCCCTGGAGCATCTACAGTGTATCATAGTGTTCAGTGGAGACCTGCAGGAATTAGGTGATGAGGAGAGAAAGGGGCATCTTCTAGACCAGGGCAAGTGCTTTGGAGGCAAGAACCCTAGGATTGCTGGTGGCTGGCTTAAAGATCATGAGATGGTCAGCAGTGAAAGATGAGAACAGATGGGGCCAAATGATGGAGTGCCTTGTGCTGAGGGGTTGGACTCTTCTGAGGGAAAGAGGGGTGGGGGAGGAGCATTTATATCCAGAGGGGAGACATAAACTCAGGTGTAGTAGTAGAGAATCAAAATATCACTTGATTGTAAAGATGAGGTGATGTCCTTGGCAGTCCAGTGACTAGGGCTCTGTGCTTTCAATGTGGGCCCAGGTTCAATCCCTGGTTAGGGAACTAAGATCCCACAAGCTGTACAGTGTGGCCAAAAAACTGAAGATGAGTAAAATAAGGCCTCAGGAGATCTTCAGAGTGCCAGTGGTAGAGCCAACATTGGATCCCTAGGGTCCTACCTCCCCGTCCAGTGCCCTTCATCTCAGGCAGCATCTGGAGTGCAGGGAACCTCCCGGCAGAGGAGACCCTGACAGTCCATAGACTATCCTTATTACCTTTGCTTTGATCCTCCAAGTGGGTCAGACTCTTGAGGAACCAAGCTAAATAATGTCCACGTGGTAATTGGTAATTATTGCACATTGTGTCTGCTTCCCACTGAACAGTCCTGCTAGTCAGTGGAAAGTGAAGCTATGAGAGGTGAAGCAACTTGTCCTATGTCCTACAGCCAAGACCTGGGGAAGATGTGATTCAAACTCTCTTCTATCCAATTCCCAAAGCTAAGATTTTTTTCTTTGTATGTACCAAGAAACTCAAGATTTCAGCAGTGAAAATAGACCCTTTAAAAAATAATTTGATACAGTGTGTTCAGGTTAGAAGTAGATACTGAACTTGTTTTGCCTTTGGGGACTAGTAAGACGCATTTGCTGCATTCAGCATGCATAGTTCACCAGAGGAGGAGACTAGATTATACTGTAGTAAGTCAGTTGGGGAATCAGAGTGCTTGGAGCTCAGGATGGAATGGGCGGGCAGGAAATGACCAAGCAATAAGAGTGAAGGGTCTCCTGGACTAAGTCTGAGTCAGCTTTGACTTCCCTTTTCCTTACCTCCTATATCCAAGCTATCATGAAATCGTGTTGGCTCAAATACAGAACTTAAAACTGACCATTTCTCAACCACCTCCATTGCTACTATTCTGACAGCTGGTCCAAGCCACCATCAAATCTCATCTAGCTTTTTGCAAGAACTTCCCTTGAATTCCCTGTTGAATTCTCAAAAGATTCCTATGTCTGCACCTCACTTAAGATGTGTGCCTGTGCTTAGCCACTCAGTCATGTCTGACTCTTTGTGACCCCTTGGGGACCAGGCTCCTCTGTCCATGGGATTTTCCAGGCAAGAATACTGAAGTGGGTTGCCTTGCCCTCCTCCAGGGGATCTTCCCAACCCAGGGATTGAACCCAGGTTTCCCACATTACAGGTGGATTCTTTACTGTCTGAGCCACCAGGGAAGCCCTCACTTCAGATACTCTAATGTAATTGAAGTGGGGCCCAGCTAGAGGTTTTTTAGTTTAGTTTTGTTGTTTAGTTGCTCAGTCGTGTCTGACTCTTTGCAACCCAAGGACTGTAGCCCACCAGGCTCCTCTGTCCATGGGATTTGTTTAGATTTAATATATATTTAGCTGTGATATATCTTAGTTGCAACACCTGGGATCATCCATCTTTGTTGCAGCATGTGGGATCTTAAGTTGTGGCATTCAAACTGTTAGTTGAGGCACGTAGGATCTAGTTTCCTGACCAGGAATGAAACCTGGGCCCTCTGCTTTGGGAGCGCAGAGTCTTAGCCACTGGACCACCACGGAATTCCCAGAGGTATTTTTTATAGCACCCCAGATGATTTGAACTTGTGGCTAGGGTTGAGGACCACTCTTTCAATATGTGAATCTCATGTCTCCTTTCTGGCCAAATCCTCCAGCACTTTGCCTTTCATTCAGTAGAAGCCAGTGGTCTACAGGGCCATATGTGATCTGGCCTCCTGTGACCTCTCTTTCCTCCTCCTCATTCTTTTCATTGCAGCCACACTGGCCTTTGGTTCACTGAACAAACAAGGTACACTTCTACCTCTGGGCCTTTGCCCTTGTTCCTTCCACCTGAAAAAGTCTTCACCTAGCAATCTACATGGCTTAATCCTCAACCTTCTTTAGGTCTGTGCTCAACCATCACCTTGGTGATGATGGCTTTTTAGTTCCACCCTCTTTAAAACTGCAACTCCTGCTCACTATTCTCTCTCCTTTCCCTGTTCTATTTTTCCTTATAGCACTTGTCATGTCTGACTTCTGATATATTTTATGTACATTGTTTCTTCCCTGGGGAGATTTGGAATTTTGTTACTTTTTTAAAAAAAATGCTACTTTTTTTTATTGTCTGTCTGAAATACAGTAGAGGCTCATTAAATCTCTGCTGAATAACTGAATTTCCTTATGTGTTTTGGAGGAGTTTGGTGCATGGTTTGGGCCAGGTAGAATCTGAGGCACTAAGGGATACCAGGAGAGAGATCTGGCACTTGGGTTTGAAGCAGATGACGACTGAAGGACCAGCCCAGAGGAACATGGACACAGGGACAGAGGAGCCGCCAAACCTGCTTCTCCCTATGTTCATCTTGCTGGGTGAGACCCCCATCTGCCTGGTCACCAGACAGGCAACAGAAGTCATCCTGGATTCCTCACCTCCGCATCTCACCTCTCAAGCAAGTTCTCTATTATTGTCTAAATATAACCAAAGTCTGCCGCTTCCCGTCTGCCTACACTATCACAGCCATCCCCTCCCCCAGACTACTGGCAACAACCCAGTCTTAGGTGCCTCTGTTCTCCACCACGCAGTTTAAATGGTTTTCTAAAATAGCTGACCTCCCTCCATCGTCGGAAAATCTTTCAGTGGACTTCCTGCTGCCCTGGGAAGCCAAAGCCCAGCTCCCACAAGGCCTTATGCGCACGTGGCCCGGATTCTTCTCTAAAAATGCATTTCTTGCCACTCAGCCTTTAGGCCCCCAAGGCGCAGGACCCCTTCACACCTCCCGGCCTGGTCTCAGGACTCCAAGCTGAGAAAGTGATGCCTGTTGGGGAAGGCCTGCCTGAGTCCAGGCTGCCTCCTCTGCCTCCTGAGCCTCGCCTCTCGCACGCTCGTTACTGTCTGGCGGCCTGTCCCCCGCATGGCTGGGGGCGCCTGAAGGAAGTATTGTAATTGCGAAGTGTCCCTGTGGGTCACTGCTGCGTCAGGTAGAGGTAGCCCCAAGGAGGCAGAAGAGGAGCCAGGATCCAGTCGGAAAAGCCAGTGAGTGAGGGTGTAGGGTGTTCGGCTGCGTCAGCGAGGCGAGGCCTGAACCGCCCTCAGGAGGAGGAGCCTGGGGTCCAGCTCCGCGCGAGCGGCCCTCGCTCCCACCAAGGGTCACTGGTCACTCTGCGCCCGCAGACCTGGCGGGGGTCGCAGGGCTAGGTCTCACCCGGCTGCCCTCCCAGGCGAGCTTCTGCATCCGAGCGGAGAGGTCGGGGACGCCCGCCAAGCCACGGAGCGGGTGGCTTACGCTCCGCGGCCCCACAGGAAAGCAGGCATTCTTTCTGCGCAGGCGCGACGCTTCGGCCGGGAGGGGCGGGGCCTGGACGGGTCGGAGGCGGAGTCACCTCTGGGCCCGCCTCCACTAGCTCCTCTGGCCGCCGAGTGCTGGGCACCCGGGCTATTCTAGGGGCTTCAGGTGAGCAGGGGGAACAGAGGGGTCAGGAGACCTCCCTCGAGGTCGGGTCGTCGGTCTGACTGCAGGCCCATCTGTCCTGCCGTCTGCCAACAGCCGCCTCCGCGGAGAATGGGAGAACAAAGGGAGGGGGCGGTACTGGGGCCCCTGCGGGAATCCAGGGTCCCAGCGCCCCCGCCTTGCCCGCTGACACTTTCGGTTTCTCCCCGAGTCAGACGCGCCGCCCTAGAGACCCTGGGCCGGCGCTGGGCGCAGCTGCCTCTCCGCGTTTGCCTGTCGGTCTTTGTGTCTGTCTTTGTGTCTGTCTGCTGTCTTCGAGCTTGCCTCCACTTCTAGAACTAAATCTCTGGGACACCGACATCCCACGAATCCTCGCCCCTCTCCCATGGCAGGTAAGTGGGCGCAAGGTCGAGGGTCTCCGTTATCCCCCCACGGACTTGGTAGCCTGGTGTCAGACGCATCCTCCGGGAATGTGCTCGGACTGGCTGTGTGGGGCCCCTCCCTTCCTCCCCGAGAAGCCGCCGCCCTGCTCCCCCGCCCCATCTTTCTCATTCTCTTCTCATCACATTTTCCCCGCAGCCTCGCGGCCTGTGGGCCAAGTGGTAAAGGGATGAAGTCAGGGACCCCTTCTAACCTACTCTTGTGCCCCCCACAGGCTACTTGCCCCCCAAAGGCTATGCCCCTTCGCCCCCACCTCCCTACCCTGTGACTGCTGGATACCCGGAGCCAGCACTGCATCCCGGGCCTGGGCCCGGCCAGGTGTCCGGACCCGGGCAGGCCCCAGTGCCCGCCCACGTGCCTGCCCCTGCGCCGGGCTTTGCTCTCTTCCCCTCGCCCGGCCCTGGGGCCCCGGGACCAGCTGCCGCCTTCTTGCCATTGCCAGGGGTGCCTTCTGGTCTCGAATTCCTGGTGCAGGTGAGTGAGAGGGAGGGAGGAAGGAAGGAAGGAAGGGAGGAGTGACAGGGAGGGGACCCGGGCAACTAGGCCAGCCAGCTAATGTCCGCCTGGCCCCTGTCTTTCCAGATTGATCAGATCTTGATTCACCAGAAGGCTGAGCCGGTGGAAAGTGAGTGGAAGAAGGAATAGGTTGGGCCTCATCACGGGGGCAAATAGTGGGCTCTGGGGCAGGCGCTGGTGTCGGAGCCTCAGCATGTCACCCCTTGGCAGCGCTCTTGGGCTGGGAGACCTGTAACCGCTACGAACTGCGCTCCGGGGCCGGACAACCACTGGGTCAGGCGGCAGAGGAGAGCAACTGCTGTGCCCGGCTGTGCTGTGGTGCCCGCCGGCCCCTGCGAGTCCGCCTGGTGGACCCCGGGGACAGAGAGGTGCTGCGCCTGCTCCGCCCCCTCCACTGTGGCTGCAGCTGCTGTCCGTGTGGCCTCCAGGAGGTAAGTGGGGAAGGCCGGGGCCAGAGAGAAACTTGATAAGGGGCTGGCCAGTGATGGCGGCAGAACCTGGATGAGGCATGGGATGAGATGGTCCTCCGATTGGAGTTGGCCAGCGGCAGGTGGGATGGGAGGCCTAGTGAGAGGGAAGACAGGTGGTCTAGTGAAGAGGATGGGAGGTCTCATGAGGGGAAAGAGATGATAGAGCTAGACTGGTGAGAGCTGAGCAGTGATTCTGTCTGCTTCCAACTCCAGATGGAAGTCCAGGCTCCACCGGGCACCACCATTGGCCACGTTCTACAGACCTGGCATCCTTTCATCCCCAAGTTTTCCATCCAGGACGCTGACCGCCAGACCCTCCTGAGAGTGGTGGGGCCCTGCTGGACGTGCGGCTGTGGCACAGACACCAACTTTGAGGTATCAGGAATAAGGGGAGATTCCTGGGACCTTCATAAACCAAGGCATCCATGAGGCAGGATAGTCAAGAGCTCATTAATCCAAACCCACTGTGATGCCTACCACATTGCTGGCTTTCCTTTATTCAGAAATAAGATGGACCAGGGTTTTATAAATCATGGCTGAAAAAAAAAAAATAGCTGAGAGGATTTCATCTTAAGGGCCAATGCTGATTGCGATCTGCAACCTTGTGTTGAGGGAGAAAAAAATAACCTTAGGCCAGGCTGGATTTAGGGTGAAGGATGATTATTGAGTGTACCTTGGGCTGGGCCCACATGGCCACTGTGTGTGTGAATTCATGAGCCCAGGGCCTGGAGCAAGCACTGATTTCACTTGTTAACAGCCTGTGGCTTGCCTTGCCAAATGTCCACCCATCCACCCCTAGCCTGAAATCCAGGTGATGTCCTTCTTACCATACATTCTGGTCACCAACCTGGAGCCTAGAGAATCCAAGTGGTGACCATTTAAGAGTAAAGCCTGGGAAGCACCTTCTTTTCTAGAAGATAAAGGCACTTGAATACTTTAAGAGATAATTATATGTGTAGATAAAGGAGGAAACAACAGGTATAGTCGGGTAGGCTTTCCAAGGCTTCTGATAAGGTGCTCTACCTAAGGTTACTTTTTAAAACTGAGTCACCTTGGTACCTGGGGAAAGCTTCTTTGATAGGAACTCGTTGGGAAAGAGATAACTTGGTGATCTGTGGATGAGAATATGTAGGCTGCATGGTTCTCATCGGCTCAGCCTTCCTTTTATGTAATATGAATGGTCCACATTCGGGGTTGTTCTTGGGACCGCAGGGCTGGCTGGGAGAGGCCCAACCAACCTGAGACTGGTCTGCAGAAAGTGCCCCAGGGCTGTAGGACCTTCAGGGAAGGGGATGGGCAGGATATCACTCCAGTTCTAGCCACAGGAGAATGAGCAGAGGATAAAGTCCAGGCGGTCACTGTGAATTACCACCCACATTGGCAGGGCCTGTTGCTGCTGGGTTCAGAGAGGCCAGTGAAGACCCTGGTCCTCAGAGGCCACTTTCTGCTGCCCCCTCCTCCCACTGGATGGACTTGTATCCACCTTGGATGAGGCTTGCATGCCACACTAGACAGAGCCCTCACTACAGACACCCCTCTGGGCCACCTAGAAGCCTGGTTGGCTGAACACAATCAGGCATTTAGCAGCCTCTTTTAGCCCATCTGGCCAGGCTACTCTGTACAGGGCACAAACTGCACCAACCGTGGGTGGCAAAGACTTTGGTAACCAAAACAAACCTAGCAACTGGCCATCCGCTAAGGAGATTAGACTGCATTGTGCTTCTGTTTCTCCCAAAACTGATGTTTAGTAGTCATGTGTGGCCTTTCAAGAGCAACAGATTCAAGTTGCCATTCTGATTTTTGTTGTGGACTCACAGGGTGACCTCAGGTGGCTCAGTGTCCCCAGATGTCACATGGAACCCAAAGGCTTTGGGAGGATTCACTATGTGTACAGCCTGCACAGTTCATAACCAGGGACTATGGGAGTGGGACTGGAGGCAGATGAGATCAGGCACACCCCTTCCATGTGGGATCTCCCTCCCTCTCTCTCTCCTGCCAGGTGAAGACCCCAGACGAATCCCGCAGTGTGGGCCGCATCAGCAAGCAGTGGGGGGGCCTGCTCCGAGAAGCCCTTACTGACGCAGACGACTTCGGCCTGCAGTTCCCGCTGGATCTGGATGTGAGGGTGAAAGCTGTGCTGCTCGGAGCCACGTTCCTCATTGTGAGTCGGCGGCCCTCATTCCTCCCCCGAGTACCCCTCGGCTCTCACTCAGAGATTCTGAGCGCTTCTTGGCCGTCTCCGGTTAGGAGAGGCTCAGGGACAGAGTCTTTAGGGGTTTGGGGTTCCAGACCTGGGTTGTGATAGCTGAGCCAGGCTGGACCAGCCAGATATCCTGCTGACCATGCCCTCCCCTCAGGACTACATGTTCTTCGAGAAGCGAGGAGGCGCTGGGCCCTCTGCCATCACCAGTTAGAGGCCCTCTCTGGGTGAGGAGACCATCAACTCAACCAGAATTCAGGATGGTCACCCGCCCTGGCCCCTGCTCAGAGGCAGCCCCTTTCCTCCGTGCACACTGCAGGCGAGAGACAGGGAAGCCTGAGAGGCTGGGGGCTTGGGGCCCCATCCCTCCCCTGCTCCCCTGGCCTCCTTTACCTGTGGCCCCCACAGAAGGGTATGTATGAGAGCCCTTCCCCTGCTACTTCCCGCCACATTTCCAGTGGTCCCTCAGCATGCAGGCACATCGGCTTTCAAGTGTTCCCTACCCACTTCCTCCCAACCCCTTCCAGGGCTTCTGCTCCAGACGAGGCCTTAGAATGCAGGACTCTGGGGTTTTCTGACAGGGCTGGGGGTGGGAAAGGCACCAAAGATGGCAGACCTGGCCACCCTTTCCCTGCATCCGCTTGGCCAATTCATTCAGCCTCAGATGATGGCACTCTGAGGGCATCCTACCTCCCCACTAGGGCCAGGACCCCAGTGCCAACTTCCTCTCCCTCAGCTGGTGCTTGCTGCAATTTCCTGTGCCTTAACCACCCGTTCCTTCCCTTGCCCCAGGAAGGAAGCTGTATCTTTTTATGTTACATTCATATAAACTTTGTAACTTTTTGCACACTGGAAGATGTATGTAATGGGAGAGGGTAGGAGAAAGAGTTGGGTGTGGGAAGAGACAAAGGGAAATATGATAGCTGGGATGGGCAGGGGCTGGCCCATCTCATAATCACACTGCCAAGATCATGTGTCCTTGATTCTAAGAGAGCCCCTTTCATCACCCATGATGGCCCCAGACCATGCCAAGGCAGCTGAGGCCGTATTCCCCAAGTCATCCAAGATGGCTGCCCCCACGGAGCCCAGTGTGGTAGCTGATGGCAGTTCAGGATGGCTTCTCCCGTGACCCAGAATGGCCTTGTGCTCATTTTCTGTAGTGACAGAAGCTTCCTGTGGGCATGATGTGTCACAGCTCCGCTCCTCCAAGTATTCCCTCTTGTTGGGCAGGGTGGACTAGATCCTCCTATGGCCAAGGGAGCTTGTGCCCTCAGAGGCCAAGGGGCAGGTGAGGAGACACCAGTGCCTGATGTTGGGCTCCTCCTGTACCTACCACAGGCCTGTTGGGACCTTGTTCTGCTTCTGCCTGGTCTCATGTGGCCAGGCCCTTGGTCTGTCTGGTGTCTGTGCTCAAAGAACAGAGTTCAGGGCTGGGCCAGGACATAGCGGCTGGCGGCCGAGAGGTCCCACTGGTAACGCTCCAGGATGCGCCGGCAGTCCGCTCTGGACCAGCTGCTGAGGTAGAAGAGCTGCTCTACCTGTGGGGGTGGGAGGACAGGCAGCTGACTGCCAGAGGGCAGGGCCAGGAAGGGCGGGAACCAGGAGAAGGGTCGGACTTTACCTTGAGGTTCCGGATGGCAGAAACCACATCTCCCCCGGTGGCTCTTAGAGCAGCCTGGCACTCCTGGTGGGTGACCCCGTGCACACTCAGCTCCACCTACCGGGGACGAAGCCTCACTTAGGCCCCTTCCCCAGTCTGTAGCCCCTCTGGACACCGGGCCCCTTCAGGGAGACCTCACCTCCATAACCCTCCTCTGTAGCTCGGGGTCGGACAGGGGTCCTCCAGAGGGGATGGCGGCTTTGCTGGCTCCAGGTGCTCCTATGGGGTGACTGTTGGGGGGTTCTCTTTTGGGCCAGGAAGGCCGCTCCCTAGGAGGCTGGGAAGAGCTGGTGGCCATGGGAAGGTGGGGTGGGCGGCCTGGGGGTCCCTGGGGCCCAGTTCTGGCATGTCGAAGTTCAGGGGGGCTCGACCCACCTCCTGTGGGGCGGGGGCCCAGGGAAAGAACTGACTCCAGACTTTTGGAAATGCCTGCATATTTGAGAAAGAAAACACAGCTTGAGAGGAAGCCCAGCTGCCTTCTTCATGTTCTCTGGCTATCTGTGCTGTCCTCGGGGTGGTCTTCTGTCTAGGCAGAACCCAGATGTGCAGGATGGATGCCCATATCCAGGCAGCTAGGGGGCCCAGAGAGCAGCCAGGGGCTGCAGGGGAGAGATGCCGCCCAAAGTCCAGCTAGGATGTCAGCAGGCAGAGGAAAGGCAGGACATCATAGGTGGGGAGATCACAGATGCAATCAGAGCAAGGGGCATTGTTGGAGGGTGCTTCTAGACCTCCTGGGAGATCCTGCAGGCTCTGTCCCCACTGCCACGCCCACCTTTAGTCCTCTGCAGAGCCACATTCCTTCTCTGGCCCCGAGCCTGAGGGGCATCCTGAAGCTTTGCCTTCCCTCTGTCCCTGTTGGAGAGTGTTCCAGTTCATTCTCCATCCCCACTGCAGAGAGCAGTGCCCTCCCCCAAAGAATCTCTGGGGCCTCCAGGCAGACTGAGACATGAGAGACGTCCAGCCTCCCCTCTAGCTTTACCCCACTCCCCTCCATCTTTACCCACCTCCCTCCAACTTCACCTCCCCCACAGGCTCCCCTTCCAGAAAAGTTGCTGGGCTTGGTTGGTTCCCTAGCCTAGCTCTGGCCCCCACTCTTTCAGGTCCTCACCCATCTGCGTTTCTCTGGTGTCGCTCTCCCCGGGCAGGGGTGCCTCTGAGGACAGGGCGGGTGGCTGGTGGTGGGTCTACCAGTGTCACCGCTGAGGCTGGGAAGCTACCCACTTTGAATGTGCGACTGTTCTGGCCCTTCCAGGTTGTGGAGTCAAGGCTGTGGGAAGAGGCACGGGTGAAAGGGGCTCGGAGCCAGGGGAGAGTGGGGGCTGGGCCCCGGTCCACATTCAGCTCACAAGCTGTGCGCTACGGAGCCACATCTGCCCGGAGGAAGGGATGCTTTTTTCTCTCTAACACAAAAGGGCTCTATGGGCCAGTGGTGGCTCTAGCGGGGAGGCCAGGACTGTGGTAGAGTGCTTGGAGCTATGAGGGGAGAGGAGGCAGATGCCTGGGATTCAAGGAGCTGGGGGGGAAACTGAGCTGGGACCAGCATCAGGAGGGTTGGGAGGGAGTCCTCCTGGAGCTGAGTGGGAGGCATGAGACCCTCACCTGCCCTCGATGATAGTGATGGGGTCACCAGGCTCCATCCTCAGGGCACCGGGCTCCATGACCTCCCTCACACAACGTCCCTCAGGAGGCCAGGCCTGTCGAGACAGGAGGAAAGGGTGGCTGGGCTTGTGGCATGAGTCACAGGGTAATGTCCTGGAAACAGAGGAGAGACTGTTCATGCACCCATCAAGCAAACCCCTACCAGGTGTGTCCTGTGTCCTGGGCCAGAGTGGGATGGTCCCTGTCTCTCGGTTGTAATCCAGTGGAGGCAGATCTGGATTCCATGCCAAGCTGGACACAGCCCGGGGTCAGGGAGCAACAAAAGGGGACCCTGCCTCTATCTAGGGGGGCCAAGGGGAAAGTCACCCTGTACACTGCTTTCACTCCATACCCAGGCCCATCAGATCTGCCTCCCAAGCACCTCTGGGAATTCTCCACTTCTCTGTAGCACCACTGCCTCCACCCTCGTCCAGACCTCTTCATCTCACTTCTGCTTCACAGTCATTGCAGTCTACTGTTCTTCCCATCTTGAGTCTCATCATTCTAATCCATTCTTGCACCAAAGCAGAGTGTGTGCTGTGCTAAGTCGCTACAGTTGTGTTCAACCCTTTGGGACCCTATGGACTGTAGCCCACCAGGCTCCTCTGTCCAAGGGGTTCTCCAGGCAAGAATACTGGAATGGGTTGCCATGCCCTCCTCCAGGGGATTTTCCCAACCCAGGGATCAAACCCACGTCTCTTACGTCACCTGCATTGCAGGCGGGTTCTTTACCACTAACACCACCAAGGAAATCAGAGTGACATATATATAAAGATGGCTTGTTAACTCTGCTGCTCACAACCCTTCTGTGGCCCCCAGATGTCCTCAGAGTTAAGGACTAAACTCCTTTAATGTTAGAGTATATAGTGATTTAGGGCACGGCTCTACAGTCAGAGTGACTGGTTCAGCTCTCCATCCCTCCACTTCCTGTGTGACTTTAGGCAAATCACTTAATCTGTCAGTGTCTTAACTGCCCCCTCCCTAAGACTGAGCTGGGTTGTTGTGAGGACTGAATGAGTGAACATGCATCAGGATACACGGAGAGCACTTAGCACAGTATTTTGCGCATGCCGAGCACTCTCAGCGTTAGCACCGGTTATTTACCATGTCTTATAAGTCCCTCCTTGGTGCACCCCTAAAGTGCCTCTGCCACCTTGGTCACTGTACTTCCCCCTCCCACGTGGAACCTTTCTTCTGCCTGTCAAACACCCACTGCGTCCTGCTGCTCTGGGCTCCCCTCTCTCTTCCCCAGCCTCCAGCCCACATAAACTAGACCCCAGCTGTCTCCCTGGGGCTCTGAGGACCCTGAAGGTGAGGAATGAATCTGCTTTGTTCAGAGTCAGGTCTCAGACCCCAACCTGGGAGTCAGTATATGTCCATCTTGTGCATGGGACCCTGGGAGATGAAACAGAGGCAAGAGAGATGGGGTTTCCGGGGAGGCAGGAGCTCCCACCTCTTGGAGCAGCCCCTCTAGGTCGGAAAAGGTGGGCCGGTCAGCAGGGTGGTAGGCCCAGCAGCGTAAGGCCAGGGTGTAGAGGGCCCTGGAGCAGAGAGGAGGCCTGGGCAGGCGGGCTCGGTCCTTCTCCAGCCGTTGCAGGATGAGGTATGGCGGGACCCCGGCCCAGGGCTCCTCGCCCCCAGCGAACATCTCCCACAGCGTCACCCCATACATCCACACGTCCGAGGCAGACGAGAAGGCCCCGTGGCGCAGGCTCTCGGGCGCACACCTGCGGAAGCGGAGCTGAAGGGGGCCAGATGTGTGCGCAGGCTGTGCACCCGGAGCGCCCACCTGCCACTGGGCACGCCCCCTTAGTGCCAGCATTCCTCCCAAAGTCCTCCTTTATCGGCCCTTCCAGACCAGAAGACTCCTCTAGTCCCCGCCTCCCTCAGAGGACCACCCCCTCGGCTCCTGCCCCCAGATCCTGCCCCTCTGCGCAGGTTCTCACCATGCAAAGGGGATGCGTCGGGGCCCGCCCATGATGTAGCGACCCCGGGCACCACCCAGTGGTCGCACCAGCCCGAAGTCAGCCACCTTGATGGTGCGCGGTGAAGCCAGCAGCAGGTTGCGCGTGGCCAGGTCTCGGTGCACCAGCCCACGGGCCCCCAGGTACGCCATGGCCCCTGCCACCTGCCGCAGAAAGAGGCAGAGCAAGGCCAGGGGCAGGGGGGGCGTGGGGGCCGGGGCCGTCAGACGTGCGTGCAGGGAGCCCAGGGGCGCCAGCTCCATCACCTGCAGGAGAACATCGGTATGAGCGGTAGTCCAGCCTCATGAGACCCTAGCACTCACCCTCCTGTAACCCATTGGCCCGGGGACTGTCCCAGGTGCCAGCGTCGGGGTTTGCTTACCATCTGCAGAGGCTGGCCCAGTACCAGGCCGTGCAGACGCAGCACATGTGGATGCTCCAAGTTCATCATGACGGACACTTCTCTCAGGAAGTCCTCTAGCTCAGTGCCCTCGGGACCTTCGGGACCCACCCGGAGGGACTTGACAGCCACTGGGACCTGGGTGTGGGGGGAAGCACCGTCAGGCACAGGAGCAAACAGTTAAG